TGGGTCTGTTTCTGCCACCAGGAACTCAAATTCCCCCAAATCACCCCAAAATTCCCCATGTTGGGTCTCTTTCTGCCACCAGCAGCCCAAAATCCCCCCAAATCACCCCAAAATTCCCCATCTTGGGCTTCTTTTGGTGTTTCTGACCGCCATTTTGGTGGCCCCAGTCGCCATTTTGGTGGCCCCCATTGCCATTTTGGTGGCCCTAACTGCCATTTTGGTTGCCCCAACCACCATTTTGCTGCCCCAAATCACCATTTTGATGCCCCCAACCACCATTTTGATGCCCCCAACGCCATTCTGGTTGCCCTGACCGCCATTTTGATTGCCCCAACTGCCATTCTGGGTGCCCCAACCACCATTTTGATACCCCGACCACCGTTCTGGTTGCCCTGACCGCCATTTCGATGCCCCCAACCACCGTTTTGATGCCCCCAATACCATTTTGCTGACCCCAATGGCCATTTTGATGGCCCCACCTCCATTCTGGTTGCCCCGACCACCATTTTGATTCCCCAATGCCATTTTGACGCCCCCACCGCCATTCTGGTTGCCCCAACCGCCATTCTGGTTGCCCCAATCACCATTTTGATGCCCCCAACCACCATTTTGATGCCCCCAACGCCATTCTGGTTGCCCCAACCGCCATTTTGGTTGCCACAACCACCATTTTGATACCCTGACCGCCATTCTGGTTGCCCTGACCGCCATTCTGGTTGCCCTGACCGCAATTCTGGTTGCCACAACCACCATTTTGATACCCTGACCACTGTTCTGGTTGCCCTGACCGCCATTCTGGTTGCCCCAATCACCATTTCGATGCCCCCAACGCCATTCTGGTTGCCCTGACCACCATTTTGGTTGCCCCAACCACCATTTTGATACCCCGACCACCATTCTGGTTGCCCTGACCGCCATTCTGGTTGCCACAACCACCATTTCGATGCCCCCAACCACCGTTTTGATGCCCCCAATACCCTTTTGCTGACCCCAACGGCCATTTTGACGCCCCCACCGCCATTCTGGTTGCCCCAACCACCATTTTGACCACCCCGTGCCCAATCCCCGCAGTGTGGCCGACGACTGAGCGGAGGAGACATGGCGGTGTTCGCGGCGCGGGCCGGCCACGGGGCCTGCTGGCACCCACAGTGCTTCAGCTGTGCCACATGTGGGGAGCTGCTGGTGGACCTCATCTACTTCTACCAGGACGGGCGCATCTACTGCGGGCGGCACCACGCCGAAACGCGCCGGCCCCGCTGCCAGGCCTGCGACGAGGTACCCAAAATTCTGCTCTTCTCCCTTGGGAAGTACCAAAATCCTGCTTTTCGCCCTTTAAAACACCAGATTTTGCTCTTTCCCCTCTGAAAATGGCGATGCGTTGCTCTTTTCCCTTTGAAAATACCGATGTTCTGTGCTTCTTTCCTTTGAAAATACTGAAATGGCGTTCTTTTCCCTTTGGAAATGCCAACGTTCAGCTCTTTTTCTTCTGAAAATAGTGAAGTTGAACTATATTCCCTTTGAAAATGCCAAAGTTCTGCTCTTTTGCCTCTGAAAATCCCAATGTTCTGTGCTTTTTTCCTTTGAAAATACTAAAATTGAGTTTTTTTCCCTCTGAAAATGGCAGAGTTGCTCTTTCCCCTTTGAAAATCCCAATGTTCTGTGCTTTTTTTCTTTTCAAAATACTAAAATGGCGTTCTTTTCCCTTTGAAAATGCCAAAGTTCCACTCTTTTCCCTTTGATAGTACCAACATTCAGCTCCTTTTCTTCTGAAAACAGTGAAGTTGAACTATATTCCCTTTGAAAATGCCAAAGTTCTGCTCTTTTCCCTTTGAAAATACCAATGTTCTGTGCTTTTTTTCCTTTGAAACTCCTGCAAAAGCACCCTTTTCTCCCTCAAAATATCTGAAAATTGCCATTTTCTTCCCTAAAACATCTGAAAATCACCCTTTTTTTCCATAAAAACTTTGAAAATTGCTCTTTTTTTCCCTAAAAACATCTGAAAATCACCCTTTTTTCCCTTAAAAGTTTGAAAATTGCCCTTTTTTTCCCTAAAAACATCTGAAAATCACCCTTTTTTTCCATAAAAACTTTGAAAATTGCTCTTTCCTTCCCTAAAAACATCTGAAAATCGCCCTTTTTTTTCCATAAAAGGTTTGAAAATTGCTCTTCCCCAAAACATCTGAAAATCGCCCATTTTTTCCCTAAAAGCATCTGAAAATCACACTTTTTTTCCATAAAAGTTTCAAAAATTGCCCTTTTTTTCCCTAAAAACATCTGAAAATCGCCCTTTTTTTCCATAAAAACTTTGAAAATTGCCCTTTTCTTCCCTAAAAACATCTGAAAATCGCCCTTTTTTTTCCATAAAAGGTTTGAAAATTGCTCTTCCCCAAAACATCTGAAAATCGCCCATTTTTTCCCTAAAAGCATTTGAAAATCACACTTTTTTTCCATAAAAAGTTTGAAAATTGCTCTTTTTTTCCCTAAAAACATCTGAAAATCGCCCTTTTTTTCCATAAAAACTTTGAAAATTGCTCTTTCCTTCCCTAAAAACATCTGAAAATTGCCCTTTTTTTCCATAAAAAGTTTGAAAATTGCCCTTTTTTTCCCTAAAAACATCTGAAAATTGCCCTCTTTTTCCACAAAAACTTTGAAAATTGCTCTTTCCTTCCCTAAAAACATCTGAAAATAACACTTTTTTTTTTGAAAATTGCCCTTTTCTTCCCTAAAAACATCTGAAAATCACCCTTTTTTTCCACAAAAACTTTGAAAATTGCTCTTTCCTTCCCTAAAAACATCTGAAAATCACACTTTTTTTTTTTGAAAATTGCCCTTTTCTTCCCTAAAAACATCTGAAAACCCCCCTTTCCCTCCCTCAAACTCCCACAAAACCCCCATTACCCCCGCCCCCCACCCCGATCCCAAACTGCTGGCCGTCCCGCATCCCATAATACCCCCTCCCTCCCCCCCTGTGCCGTTGCAGCTGATCCTGTCGGCGCAGTGCACGGAGGCTGAGGGCGTCCGCTGGCACCTGCGCCATTTCTGCTGCTTCGAGTGCGAGGGGCCCCTGGGGGGGCAGCGCTACGTCATGCGCCGCGGCCGGCCCTACTGCGCCCGCTGCCACCGCGCGCGGCACGCCGAGTTCTGCGACGCCTGCGGGGACCCCATCGGTGAGTCGGCACCGCGGCGGCCGGAAACGGCGCCTCTGCTGCGGCAAAACGTCTGAAAATGGCACTTTGCTGTGGCAAAACGTCTGAAAATGGCACTTTGCTGCATCCAAGTGTCTGAAAATGGCAATTTTCTGCATCACAGAGTCTGAAAATGGCACTTTGCTGCGGAAAAACGTCTGAAAATGGCACTTTGTTGTGGCAGAACGTCTGAAAATGGCACTTTGCTGCATCACAGTGTCTGAAAATGGCACTTTGCTGTGGCAGAACGTCTGAAAATGGCACTTTGTTGTGGCAGAATGTCTGAAAATGGCACTTTGCTGCATCCAGGTGTCTCAAAATGGCAATTTTCTGCATCACAGTGTCTCAAAATGGCACTTTGCTGTGGCAAAACGTCTGAAAGTGGCACTTTGTTGTGGCAGAACGTCTGAAAATGGCACTTTGTTGCAGCAAAACGTCTGAAAATGGCACTTTGCTGCATCCAAGTGTCTCAAAATGGCACTTTTCTGCTTCACGGTGTCTGAAAATGGCACTTTGCTGTGGCAAAACGTCTGAAAATGGCACTTTGCTGTGGCAGAACGTCTGAAAATGGCACTGTGCTGCAGGAAAACATCTGGAAATGGCACTTTTCTGCATCAAAGCGTCTGAAAATGGCACTTTTCTGCCTCAAAGCGTCTGAAAATGGCACTTTTCTGCATCACGGTGTCTGAAAATGGCACTTTTCTGCACCAAAACAGCTGAAAATGGCACTTTTTGCTGCAGTGTCTGAAAGCAGATCTTTTTGTCCTTACAATATCTGAAAACAGTTGTCCCCATTTCCCCCCACTTTGTCCTTTTTTTCCCCCATTCCATCCCC